ACTCTGGGCCTGGGCGCTGTCCCTCAGCTCTTCAGCTCAAGGCTAGCGCTCTACCACTTGAGCCACAGCGCCACTTCCGGCTTTTTTTCTTTTTGCTTATATGGTGCTGAGGAATCGAACCCAAGGCCTCAGTCATGCAAGGCAAGCGCTCTACCACTGAGCCACCTTCTCAGCCCCAACTGTAGTAAACTTTGCCAAAGGACAGGGAATCATTTTCCAGACATCCATTTCCTTATTCAGTGCAAGCCATTAGGCTCTGCTGAGTTTTCCAGTTATCTGCCTGGACTATTGTCTTCTTGGAAATCTGCCCTTGAAAGGATAATTTGAACAAAAAACCCCAAAATTGTCTGAGAAATTGTTACAGTATCTGAACAAAAAGAAAGTCAGGAAAAAGCTTCAGTTCTGATTGGTTGCTCTCCTTGATTATTTGTTGCCATAGTAACTAGGAGGTTAACTAGCAGTTTCACTTGCTTTTTCTTTTTAAATTAAGTACTTGTGGGAAGGGGTGACATTGTCCAGAAAGAAGTGTTCTCTTTACCTGACTTATGTAACTAACCCCTCTGTGTAGCACCTTTATAACAACAATAAAAAATAAGTCTTGTGGGTTTTCTCTGTCAAATCAGAAAAAGGATTATTTCCCTCCATCCATGAGCATAATGAAATAAAAACCTAAAGTTCTTCTAGATTTATGTTTTTTAGTAAAGAAATGGATAATTTTGTCCTATCTAAATGAACAAAAGCACTCATGGAGAGGAATGGACTTAAAAAAAAATCGAGTAGGGCACTGGTGGCTCATGCTTGTCATCCTAGCTACTCAGGAGGCTGAGAATCACAGTTCAAAGCTAGCCCAGGCAAAAAAGTCTTCGAGACTCTTATCTCCAATAAACCACTAAAAAAACTGGAAGTGGTGCTTGGCTCAAGGGGTAGAGTGCTGGCCTTGAGCTGAAGAGCTGAGGGACAGCGCCCAGGCTGAGTTCAAGCTCTATGACCAACAAAAAAAATCCCAGAATTTTGTATCTCTCTCCTGCCCTCTCTCTTAAGAGAAACAGCTTTCAGACATTCAAATGCAGAGGTTATCTTCCTGCCCCTGACACCCTGGCTGATGCCATTTGAAGCAGAGTTAAGCAACATGCTGAACTCTTAAACTACAACATTCCAGAGAATCCCAGGAAGGAAGGTATCACAGAGGAAGATACTGAGGGTCTGAGACATCCAGTTAGTCATCCAAGATCATATACCAGGAAGAGCTGAAGCTAGGGAATGAGCTTATGTCTGCCTGGGTCCCAAGCCTTTATGCCCAATGCTTAGTTGGGGAGTGAGGGGAGAGATTGTAGCCCTCAGAGCAACAGAGCTTTCTGGGATCAGCCCAGTCCCCCTCCCTTCAAAGCATTTATCAGAAAGGGAAACATAGAGTTGAGTGGCAAATATAGGTTTGGCTGCACTGACAAAGAGACCCAAAACATCAGAGATCCAAAAATCACGGAGCTTTAAACAATACCAATAAGGGTTTCACTCTGAAGTAAAAATTTGATCTGAGGGACTGAAGAGTGAGCTTTGCTCCAAGAAAACATCAAGAAAAGGCCAGGCATAGAGACACATGCCTGTAATTCCATCCCTTGGGAGGCCAAGGCAAGAGGATCACAGTCTGGCCTACATAGTGACATCTTGTCCAGAAAACACAAAAGAGGGCTGGGAATGTGGCCAAATAGATAGATTGCTTGTCTAGCATGTACGAAACCCTGGGTTCAATTCCTTAGTAGCATGTAAACAGAAAAAGCCCAAGGTGGCACTGTGGCTCAAGTGGTAGTGTTAGTCTTAAGCAAAAGAAGCCCAGGGACAGTGCCCAGGCCCTGGCTTCAAAACCCAGGACTGGCAAAAGAAAAAGAAAAAAAAAGGGAGAAAAAAGAAAGAACGGGGAGATGGGAGAGGGAGAGAAGAGAAAAGGTAGGAGGTACATATTATAATTCTTTTTTTTGGTGCTGGTCATGGGGTTTGATTTGCTTGGCTTTTTCTCTAAAGATTGGTGTCACAACTTCCACTTCTAGCTTTTTGCTGGTGAATTGGAGTGAAGAGACTCATTTCTCTGCCCGGGCTGTCTTGGAACTGTGATCCTCAGATCTCAGCTTCCTGAGTAGCTAGGATTACAGGCCTATGCCACCAGCACCCGGCTTAACAATTCTTGCAGCCTCAGAACGACTGGAACCAGGGAAGAAAATACCAACAGATTTCTTCCCCCATTGCCAGCACCGGGAAGGTAAAGAGCTCTCCCACGAGTTCCAGGTGCAAAAATCCAGGGAAGGGCTCTCATTGGCTCAGCCTACATCCTGTTCTGGATGAGACACAATGATTGGTCTAGCTCCACTTACGGGCCCGTCCTTCAGCCAATCACTGCAGTAGGGAGAAGACAGCTGGGAAATGTCAGCTCCTGTTCTAAACAGAGACCATAAAGTTGTCTTAGCGCCCAGGAACAAATACTGTATCATTAAATCTTTTTCGTCCTCTGGCTGACACCCTGGAGCCAACCAAGTCATCCAGGAGAGAATGATTGATGATGATACATCATTCTCTGGATCTCCCTGATCCAGCCAAGCACAAAGCTCTGCATACAGCAAGGGTCCAATTCCTGTTCATCAAAGGAATGACTGAATTAATCTGCTCCCAGAGACTGTTAGGACAGTCCTGAGCGGATCAGAAGTGAAACAACTTGAGGGTCTCTGACACCTGTGGAGCGCATCTGAAGGTTGGGGAGTAGGGTGGGCGGAACTTGGCAGACCCCCTCCAGGGAGGCGGGGCCGCTTGGGGGCGGGGCTTCCAGACAACATAATTTTCGATTGAACCACCTTCCATTGGTTACAGGGGAGAAACAGGAAAGTCCTTCTGCATGTTTCGCCAGACCCTTGCCGCTTCCAGATCAAAAAGACAACATTCTGATGTCTTCAAAAGGCCTCCCGTTTCCGCCTCTACTTTATTATGCTCCGCAGCCTCATGCAGCCACACAATTTACACTTTCCCCACCACCGCCGCACAGTGGTTCATTCCAGTTTGACGCATTGCAGGGAAGTCCGAACCAATGGTCGCCCCGCTCTTATTTCCGCCTTGGGACGGGCCCAATAGCGACGCGGCTCACAGAGAGGAGAGGGACGCGTCACGCACCGCTGTGTAGTGCCCCTCCACCGTGTAAAAGTAGTCCCGCGGCGGGAGCGCGCGCGCGCGGCGAGCGGTAAAGTTCGGCCTTGGACAAAAGGGTGGGAGTGAAAGGGTCCCGCGGTCCCGCCGGGGCCGCGCGCGGCGCGGAGGGATCCGGGAGCGCCGCAGTGCGGCG